TAAAGTCTTTAAAAACAAAACAAAACCCAAAACGACAAATGTAATAAAATGTAACAACATTAAAGAATACTTAAGGAAATCAAGAGATAGGGACGCTTGGGTGGCTCAGTGGGTTAAAGTCTCTGCCTTTGGGTCAGGTCACGATCCCAGGGTCCTGGGATCGAGCCCCACATCGGGCTCTCTGTTCAGTGGGGAGCCCTGCTTCCTCCTCTCTCTCTGCCTGCCTCTCTGCCTACTTGTGATCTCTGTCAAGTAAATAAATAAAATCTTTTAAAAAATTGAGAGCTATACCTATTTATGAGTCAGAAAACAGTGTTGTTAAGATTTCAATTATCCCCAAATTGATCTATAGATTCAAATTAATCCAAATCAAAACCACAGCAGCTTTTTTGTTGTTGTTGAAATGGACAAACTTACTCTACAATTCATATGGAAATGTAAAGAAGCTAGAACAGGCAAAACAAACTCTGAAAAAGAAACAACTTTATTGAGGTATAATTTACATTCCATTATTTAAATTGTACAGTTCAAGGACTTTTTTTAAACAAAAGTTTATTCTTAAATGTACAACAGGCTCCAAGACAACAACAGTTCATTCTAGCTGTAGGGGGCTACAGATGGTATGGCAGGGAATCCAGATGTTCAAAAAAGAATGGAATTAAGGATCACCTCAATGACCTTCATTAAATTTACCCAGTCATGAAACCATCACCACAATCAAGTTCTAGGACATCTATATCACCCCAGTAAGATTCCTGTACTAATTTACAGTTAATGACCATTCCCATTTTCACCCCCCAGACAACCACTAGTCTACAGATCTTTATAGATTTTTCCGGAAATTCCATAGAAATACAATATACGAATACGATCCTTGATCTTTTGTGTCTTGCTTCTTTCACTTAGCGTAGTATTTTTGAGGTTCACCCATGTTGTAGTGTTTATTAGTGTTTGTTTCTTTTTATTGTTGAATGCACCATATTTTGTGTATCATTTGCCAGTTGATGAACATTTGGATTGTCTCTACTCTTTGCCTGGTATAAATAATGCTGTTATGAACCGGTGCAAGTGTTTGCGTGAACATGTTATGTATCTTTTGGGCAGATCCTAGGAGTGACATTGCTGGGTCCTATGGTAAATTTATGATGAAATTTTAAGGAAACTGACACTTTTCTTAAGTGGCTATACTACTTCAATGCATTTACACCAGAAATGTATGAAAGTTCCTAACTCTCCATGTATTTGCCAACATTTGTTATGATAGTCTTTTTTTATTATAACCATTTTAGTGCAAGCAAAGGGGTATCTTATTGTGGTTTTCCTGAGAATTTCCCTAATGACCAATGATGTTGGGCATTTCTTTATGTGCTTAAGGTCTCTTTAAGTCTTTGGCCCATTTTTAAAATGGGTTGTTTGTCTTTTTTTTTATCAAGTTGTAGGAGTTTTTTATATATCCTGCATACAAGTCTTTTATCAGACATAGGACTTACAAATGTTTTCTCCCAGTCTGTTTTGTCTTTTCATTTCCTTGGTGGTGTCTTCTGAATCAAAATTTTTAAAAAAGATTTTATTTATTTATTTGACAGACAGAGATCACAAGTAGGCAGAGAGGCAGGCAGAGAGAGAGGGGAAGGGAAGCAGGCTCACTGCCAAGCAGAGAGCCCTGGGACCATGACCCAGGCGGAAGGTAGAGGCTTTAACCCACTGAGCCACTCAGGCGCCCCATCCTTGGTGGTGTCTTTTGAAGGACAAACCTTTTCGGTTTGGGGTTTGCTAAAGTCCAGTTTATTATTTTTTTCCTTATGGATCATGTTCTTGGTGTCCTATCTAAGAATTTCTCGTCTAAAACAAGGTCACAGAGACTTTTCTCCTGTTTTCTGCTAAAACCTTTATAGTTTTAGCTTTTATATTTATGTCTGTGGTCCATTTTGAGTTGTTAGGATGGTGTGAAGCAAGATTTAAATTTATCTTTTTGCATGTGAATATCCAATTATCCCTCCACCAAATGTTGAAAGGGTTTTCTTTCCCCCATTGAATTGCTTTCGCTCTTTTGTGGAAAAAAAATAAAGTAGAAACAAGATGTTTACAGTAAGCATGAGGGTTTATTACTGGACTCTATTCTGTTCTGTTGATCTATCCCCATGCCAGTACCGTACTATCTCAATTACTGTAGCTTTATAATAATTTTGAAATTGGTTGGCAAATGTCCTCCCTCTTTGTTCTTTGGCAGATTCCTTTTTGCTATTCTTTTTTTTTTTACATTTTATTTATTTATTTGACAGAGAGAGATCACAAGTAGGCAGAGAGGCAGGCAGAGAGAGAGAAGCAGGCTCCCCGCTGAGCAGAGGGCCTGATGCAGGGCTCGATGCGGGGCTTGATCCCAGAACCCTGAGATCATGACCCGAGCAGAAGGCAGAGGCTTAACCCACTGAGCCACCCAGGTGCCCCAAACTTTTTGCTATTTTTGATCCTTTCTACATCTCTCTATATTTTGAAGATTAGTTTATCAGTTTTGGAGAGAAGAAAGCCTGCTCAAAGTTTGATAAAATCGTATTGAATCTGCAGATCATGTGACTTTTCTTCCTCAGCTTATTAATATCATTACATTGAATAATTTTTTAATGTTGATGCAGCCTTGCATCATGGAATAAACCTCACTTGGTCATGATGTATAATTCTTTTATATGTTGTTAGGTTCAATTTGCTAATATTTTGTTGAGGATTTTTATGTCTATATTCATGAGGAATACTGATCTGTAGTTTGTTGTTGTTGTTATGTGTCTATGTGTTGGTATAGCTTAAGTATCAGGGTAATACTGGCCTCACAGACATGGGGAGTGTTCCTTCTTCCTCTATTTTTTGAACGATTTTTTGGAGCTTCGATATTATTTCTCCTATAAATGTTTAATGCAATTAAACAGTTAAACCATCTGGCTTTAGGCTTTTTTGTGTGGGAAGATTTAAACTTAGTATTTGCCTTCTGTGAGGCATGTGAGAACCACGCCTGGATCTCAGATCTCAGATATCAGTTAACTGTCTTGGGGAGCTGCTATGGTGGAATTGGAAGAAATAAAAATTATAATCACACAGATATATCACTAGATACTAACATTATGGAGAATATATAAGCTAAAGAAAAAAAGATGGAAAATACCAAGTGTTGGCAAGAACCTGGAGCAACTAGAACTCATCTACTGCACTGGTGAGAGTGTATATTAGTACAGCCCCGTTAGAAAACTAGTTTTATAAACTAAAGCTGAGCATATGGATACTGTACGATTTGGCGGTTCAAAGCCTAGAAATATGCCTAACAGAGATTCATAAATATGGTCATTAATAAATGGGTACTAAAATATTTATAGCACCACTATTTCCAATAGCCCGAGGCTGCAGACAACCCAAATGTCCACCAACAGTGGAAAAGACATACTGTGGTATACAATTCACACAATGGAATATATCGTGACCATGAGAATGAATGAATGTTCTACAAGGGTATTCAATAAAGTGGATGAACCCTTACATTTACAATGTGAAGGAAACATAGACACTAAAGAGTATATTATTAAAATATGAAATATATTTAATTGTTTGACTCAATTTACATAAAATACCAAACAGACAAAACTAGTTGATGCTGTTAGATAGTGTTTATCTTGGGAGTTGAGGGGACCAGGTCTGGAAGGGAGCACAGGGAATCCTTCTGGTGTGTTGGGCATGTTGTGTTTCTTGATCTGAATGTGTTCAGTTTGTAAGAATTCATTGAGCTGTTTGCTTACGACAGTTGCATTTTCTGTCTGCATTATACGTTAATAAAAAGTTTTAAAAATCAGGTAAATTTGCATGCTAGAAAGCCCCTTTCCTTATGAGTATCATAAAAAACATTTAAGGGAAAATGAGAAAGTGTCTATAGATCAGTGCTTTAAAAAAAGCAGTGCTCTTTCTAGAGAAGTCTTCTAGCTGTTCAACTATAATCATATCTTAGACTAAACAAATACAGTGCAACATGACTTTATCCCATAGCAATCAACACAATTCTGCTCTTCATGTGCATGTAGAAAATGAATGTATCTTACCAAATTGAAAGAAAAACAAAATCAAAATGTCATGTCTTGAAACCCAATTAATCAACCACTCCTTTTAAACAGGAAACCTAAAGAAAGCAGAAGCTTCAGTAGATGAGACCAGAAGTCCAGTGTGTCGTGGCTCAGTTTCATTGTTTTAGGGTCAGTTCCTAAGGGGATGAGAAGTCTGTGGTCTGTGGGCTACATGAAAGCTAGCTTTTGGTGTACAGGTCAGAAAGTATGCATACCTTTTTTGGATGTGAATCACCTGTGGCCACAGCATGGAAGTAATGAGGGAACAAACTGCCATCTTTAGATGTCTGTAAGGTTTAATAACTATATTCCTGTAACACTGGCTACAGCTATGTCTAAATTGCTAATATATAAAGTCATTAAAATTCCATTTCGTTTTTTAAAAATATACTCTGGAGAAGGGAAGAGAAAGAACAGTGCCTCGTGCCATCTTTTCTGGGTCTTAAATGTCAACGATCACAAAAACTTCTGGCTTCTCCTCACAGATCTGTCTTCCTCAGTAGGTTTTTGCCTTGACTTTGGTGCTCTGAGGGTGTTTGGACAATGAAAACTCTTCTCCCCACCCTAGACATTTGAAAACATGGTGGCTGGTATTAAGCACTTCTGCATCCCAGGATATGAAGAACCAATCAATGCTGAATTTATACAATCCAAAAAGTGAAACATAAGAGATTACAAGTCATCTCCTGGGGTCTTTCTACTGTTTGCAGGAGCTTGAGGGTCTCCACGTGAATCATGCAACCAAAAAGGACTATTGCTCAAATCCCTTATCAAAGTGTTTCCCTCTGCATATAATTGCATGTCAACTGGTGGTGCCGGTGTTTCTATTTCCAAATGGCTGAAGGACATTTGGCTTTGTTTGCCTTCTGTTCACTTAAACTGTGGGCTGTCATGCCCACTCCCCCGGCCCCAACCCCGCACCCCTGATCACAGCATCTGGCACTCCTCTTTCCCTACTCTGAGACCCCTGATGTATCCCCAGGTCTGAGTCCCAGCTGAAGGCCTTTTCAGGCGGTGGCTTTATACTTTTTCTCCACTGTGAGTTTTCTGGTGCTTAATGAGATTCGATCTGTCGGTGAAGGCCTTCTGACATTCTATGCAGGCATAGGGTTTCTTTCCGGTATGAATAATCTGATGCATACTTAATGTTGCTTTCTGGATGAAGGCTTTCCCGCATTTACCGCATTCATAGTGTCTCTCTCCAGTATGAGATTTCTGATGGATGGTGAGGCGGGACTTCCAAGTGAAGGTTTTTCCGCAGTCACTGCATTTATAGGGTTTCTCTCTAGTGTGGATTTTCTGGTGTGTTATCAGATTGGACCTGTCAGTGAAGGCCTTTCCACATTCGGCGCATATATTGGGTTTCTCCCCTGTGTGAATCTTCTGATGCACACGAAGCTGTGACTTCTTAGTAAAGCACTTGCCACAGTCGCTGCACTCGTAAGGCTTCTCTCCGGTATGGATTCTATGATGTGCAATGAAGTGGGATTTCTGGATGAAGGCCTTCCCGCATTCAGGACAAACGTAGGGTTTCTCTCCTGTGTGGATTCTCTGATGCACACTTAGTGTCGATTTCTGGATGAAGGCTTTCCCACATTCGTTGCATTCATAGTGTCTCTCTCCAATATGAGATTTCTGATGTATTTTGAGGCGTGACTTCCATATGAAGGCTTTTCCACAGCCGTTGCATTTATAGGGTTTCTCTCCAGTGTGCGTTTTCTGGTGTTTAATGAGATTTGACTGGTCGCTGAAAGCCTTGCCACATTCAGCACACGTATAGGGTTTCTCTCCAGTATGAGTTTTCTGATGTGTAGTGAGGTTTGTCCTGTGAGTGAAGACCTTTCCACATTCTGTACATATATAGGGTTTTTCCCCTGTGTGAATTCTTTGATGCACGTGGAGCTGTGACTTCTTAGTGAACGACTTTCCGCACTCGCCGCATTCGTAAGGCTTCTCGCCGGTATGGATTCTCTGATGTGTGTTGAAGTGGGATTTCTGGATGAAGGCCTTCCCGCATTCAGGGCATACATAGGGTTTCTCTCCTGTGTGGATTCTCTGATGCGTTCTGAGTGCTGACTTTCTGGTGAAGGCTTTCCCGCATTCACCACACGCGTAATGTTTCTCTCCGGTATGAGTCTTCTGATGTATGGTAAGGTCTGAATTCTGGGAGAAGCCTCTTCCACACTCACGGCATTCGTACGGTTTTTCTCCCGTATGGATTCTCATGTGTCTAAAGAGATAGGATCTGTGGAAAAAGGCTTTTCCGCATTCACTGCATTTATAGGGTTTCTGCCCAGTATGAATTTTCTGATGTGTAATGAGGTTTGACTTGAGAGTAAAGGCCTTCTCACATTGAGTACATATATAGGGTTTGTCTCCTGTATAAGCACTTTGAGGTACATTAATTGGTGGCTTCTGCCTGAGGGCTTTGTGGCTTTTATGACATTCATGGGATTTTTCCTCAGCATGAATTCTCTGATGCTCAGAGAGATGGGGCTTTTGGGGGAAGCCCTTTACACACTCAGTACATACAGGCAGTTGCTCCCCAGTCTGAATTGTCTGATGGTGGATGAGAACTTGTTTGTTGCCAAGATGTTTTTCACATTGATTAATGTCACAGGAATTTGCCCCTGTATTCGCAGTCTCAGTAGATGAAGAGCTAGGGGCAAAATTGTTATCATTTCCAAAAATCTTATCAAGCTTCTTTGTTGCATTGCTTTTATTATGATTGTGTAAGTTTAAAGTATGCTTCAGACTCTTTCCAAATGGGTCATAGTTACGGAGACTTTTAATTGAAGGAACAAGCTTGGTACTCACATGGATTATTTTTTCAGTATTCTTACATTCATAGCCCCTCTCCTTAATCAATACTTTCACATGACTTAAAGGGTGATTCTGGCTCTCCCGATATCTCTCTAGCTGGCTGTTGTTTTGCCACAATTCTTCTAAGATGGAGCACAATGGATCTTCTCCTATGAGTTGACCAAATTTCTCACAGTGCAATGAAACTTTCCCAGCAATTCTCTGGTGTTGCTTTTCCCCAATATCCTCGTCTAAAAAGAAAAAGAAAAAAGTAAAAATGACACGAAGGACAATTAGCAGAGGGTAGGGGGTATAGGTAGTTCAGATGAGGTGAACACAGAAATGGAAGAGTCCATATGACAATCATGAAAATAGCAATAATGTAGTCATATAAAATTCTTCTAAAGTGCTCACTACATACGAAATAATTATACACCATTTATAATGCGCCAGGCCCTGTTCCCAGTGCTTCACACGTAATAGCTCATTTAATCCTCACTAAACCTTAAAAGGCGGCCATCATTACCAACCATGTTTCACAGATGAGAAAACGGCAGCACACAGGTTATGCATCTTGCGGAAATCAAATTGCTAAATAAATGAGAGATATGGGGTTTGAATCCTGGGGATTCATATCCACTATGGAAGAGGTCTGGACAGTGAGTCTCACCAGAAGAAGAAACCCAAGTCTGTTAAGGGGAATCCTGACAGGGGAGAGAGAGTTCAGATTATATGTCTTCATTACTTATCAGCTCTAAACTGTTCTAATCTCTTTGCCTTCTCTCGCTTTTCCCTCTGAACCACGGGAGCACCAGCATAAACTTTAAGTGCCTCAAAGACCCATTCTTCTACATCTATAGGAAACACGGTGCCAACATCAGCCATCTAAATAGTAAATAGATACCGTGCTCCAACTCTCGGCCAGCTGCAAGTTTTCCTTGGTCCCAGGGATCGATGCTTTCAACAAGTGTCAAATAGGCCAGGGAAAGCCACCTACGGCAGAAACTGCAAGCTATCCACCAAAAAAAGATTTGCATTTGCCTCTTCTTTTATAGTGCTAGAAGGTACCTGGGCAACCCATTTACCAGCTTTCCTTTGTCTTCACCAGTGGAGTATGAGTGGAAATGACATGTGCAGCTGCCAGCCTGGGACTCAAGACAGTGGGCAACACTCTTCCCCTCTCTCCTTCCCACTGGACTCAACAATGACCCAACATTCACCACACAGCTGACAATGATGCTCTAGGAGATGTCAGAGCAGGGACTTGGAACGTGGTCCCCGAATGGCCCATTGTGATCAGAGCTGACTTGCTGAACAAATCCATTCATCTCAGACTTCTTATACAAAAGATGCTATACATTGACACCGAGCTTGTTGTTTTGCTCCTCCGCATATTCAAAATGTTAGCTCTGATTTTAGGACACTTCTCCGGAGGTTATATCTGCTATGAATTTACAAATCAGACATGGTACCACTCATACCAATACTGCATTTGGCATGGTTTTCTTTCAGAACACAAAGACTGAAATTGTTAATATTTCATGCAACTGTTGTACCTTTCCAAACATAATCTATGATCCTTGGAATTCCCCTGAGCCAACACTTGAAACCTCCTTCCGAAAGACAGCAAGAGATTCTCCTCTGCCGATCTCCCCAAATTCAATGAATTTAAGTTTGCCAAATAGTTCCCATGCTTTGCTTCAGAAAAACGGAAGAATAAAGGTGCTGGGAACCAACTTATTGCCTCTCAACTCTAAATTCATGCCTCTTTGCCTGCTCTACAAAGACGGATCTGAGTCTCTTTAAATATCTGTCACAGGGGCGCCTGGGTGGCTCAGTGGATTAAAGCCTCTGCCTTCAGCTCAGGTCATGATCCCAGGGTCCTGGGATCGAGCCCCGCATCGGGCTCTCTGCTTAGCAGGGAGCTTGCTTTCCTCTCTCTCTCTGCTGCCTCTCTGCCTACTTGTGATCTCTGTCTGTAAAATAAATAATTAAAATCTTTTAAAATAAATAAATAAATAAATATCTGTCGCACTGTTGAGCTTTCTCTGGAATGCCGCGGGGCGGCTTTCCAGCAAGTTCCACCAGCATGGCACCTCAGTAACTCTTCTTCTATGCTCTGGGCCATGGCTGGGCCCCTCAACAAGGTCTGGATTCTTCCCTGGGAAGCAGGGGAGGCTCTTTGGTGGGTGGCCCATTGCAGCCCTAGAGGCACTGGCTGTTCCTTTTATCTGTGGTTCCTTTATTCTTTAGATTTCTCTTTACTTCTACTAGCTAATCTCTTGTCACTTCTGTCTCACCGGAGCTAACGATTCTTTCTTTTTTAAGATTTTATTTATTTATTGACAGAGAGAGACACAGGGAGAGAGGGAACACAAGCAGGGGCAGAGGGAGAGGGAGATACAGGCTTCCTGCTGAGCAGGGAGCCTGATGCGGGGCTCCATCCCAGGACCCTGGGATCACTGACCTGAGCTGAAGGCAGAGGCTTAACGACTGAGCCACCCAGGCGCCCCAATAATTCTTTATGTTATGCTTTCCCTGTTCAAATTTCTACATAGTTTCTCTCTTCTGATCAGCCCCTGAATTGTACAGTAAGAAACAGGCTCTTCATTCTGAGAACTTTCTAAAAACATGGAGGTAAATGCCTCAGTTACCACACAGTCTAAAATCTGTGCTTTTTTTTCTGAGTTCCTGTGGAAAGAAAGGTGAGGAAAAAGAAAGAGCCATCTATGTTGGACTAAGTAAGCCATTTCACAGAACACCAAAATCTGATCACCAGGTGCAAACGTGTCATCTGAAGGGAGAGGGCACAGAATAAAGAGTCAGAGTCATGGAACACTGACAAATGGGGGAGACATCAAGAAGATGTCAGAAATGCAAAGCAAACGAAACAATCCACAAAATGAAAAAGCAGCCAACGCGAGGCGAGATCTTTGCAAGTCATGTATCTGATCAGGAGTTAATATCCAAATGCTATAAAGAGCTCATACAACTCATTGGCACAAAGCAAGCAAACCAATTTAAAAAATGGGTAGAGGAACTGAATAGACAGTTTTCCAAAGAAGACATCCAAAGGGTCACTGAAAGTGAACTAATAGAAAGAATGGAATCAGTGAATTCAATCAGGCATAAAATCATCATAATTCAGGCATAAGAAAACACAGAGCTGGTTTTAGGTGGTATCACTGGGAACTGGGAAGATGGGCTGAGAACTGAAAATGGTATTTGCAAAAATGGAAAAGCACTAGGAACTGTAGGGTGACTAATTTAAAAAAAAAAGGCTGAAAGATTAAAGAAGCACTGACAGAATGTGACAGAATTTGGAAGGTGGGAAGGTGATGTGTGAGATGATGATTCCAATTCCTGACGTACTGAGGGTCAAGAAGAAACATCTCGTGGGAACTTTCTGGGTAGCTAAATCTAGTACTAAAATACCAGTGAAAACCAGACTGGAGATGTCAAAAGCAGAGTCATCAGAATTTAATACGGATGAATGTGTGCATGTATATGAAGAAAAGACTGGTGAACAGTGGACAGGGTCCCTAGGACAACCTCATGGCTGGGGGGTATAAGGAAGACGAGAAGGATGGAAAAAGGAGCAAGTAATAAAATATTATGCAGCCGTTTGAAGGAATGAAGCCAGATGAACACACTGTAATACAGACAGACCTTAAGGATGAGTGAAAAAAAAAGGAACAGAATTAAGACCTGGGGCACAGGGCGCCTGGGTGGCTCAGTGGCTTAAGCCGCTGCCTTCGGCTCAGGTCATGATCTCAGGGTCCTGGGATCGAGTCCCGCATCGGGCTCTGTGCTCAGCAGGGAGCCTGCTTCCCTCTCTCTCTGCCTGCCTCTCTGTCTACCTGTGACCTCTCTGTCAAATAAATAAATAAAATCTTAAAAAAAAAAAGACCTGGGGCACAATATAATTTATATGTACTAAAAATAGACTCATAAACCCATACTTCTGGCTTTTAACAATTACCACACAAATTCACAGATAAACACAGTAACTCCGTTACCCCTGGAATGAACATGTGGAACTGGAATAAAAAGGAAGAAATGTTAAAATGTCTGAATGTGCAAGGAAAGAATCTAAGAGAAAGGGGGTGGGAGCGGAGTAGGAAGAAAAAACAGATCTTAGATAAGATAGGGTGGAAGGTATGTGATCCAGGACACAGAGATGAGAGACAGCTCTCTCGTCAAAATGCCAAGCAATGAAGACAATGGCTATTTGCGAGGATTGTACTTGGAGAAACTGTTCAGGTATCAAAGGAGCTTCCGTGAACTATCTCCAATAAACTATAGAAGTTTAGAACTTTGGGGGCGCCTGGGTGGCTCAGTTGGTTAAGCGTCTGCTTTTGGTTCAGGACACGATCCTGGGGTCCCTGGGATCAAGCCCGTCATCCGAATCCTTACTCAGTGGGGAGCCTGCTTCTCTCTGTCTCTCTGTCCCTCTGTCTGCTGTTTCCCACTCCCCTGCTTATGTGCTCTCTTGCTCTTTCTTTCAGTGGAATAAATAAATAAAATCCTAAAAAAAAAAAAAGGCAGTTTAGAACTTGATGGCAGGTTATCTTCACAGCCTTTCAAAGCTATCAGCCTCTTCCTGAAAAAATGAGATTTGCTTCCATGTCCCCCATCTGCCTGAGTCACACTCACTCACCTGACCAGCTCTGATGTGAGGTTTCCCCCTCCAATGTCCATGGCCCCTCTCCTTGCTCCAACTTGAAGATGACCTCTGGTTTGGGAACCTGGCACCCTGTTAACAGGACATAGTACAGGATCGGGTCCAGCTGATTGGATTTCAGGGGACTTTCAATGACATTTCCATTTGCTCTCCAGAAAAGTAAGCACATTTCATTGGCAACAGAGTAATAATGAGTGCTGAAAAGGGACTGAAGAATCCTGGACAGATCAAAGAAGACCCCATCACACACTCAAGATGTTCCAAAAAACCCAGCAGCTGAGAATGGAAATAGCCACACTCAGGCGCCTGGCAGGCACACAGGGCAGCTGTGCTTACCCACTGAGCGCAGGTGGCTGTAATTCTCCAGCGTCACATCCCAGTACAAGCGTCTCTGAGCAGGGTCCAGTTGCTGCCACTCTTCCTTGCTGAAGTCCACAGTCACATCCTCGAATGACATGGAGACCTGTAACAGCACAGTCCCGTTCAAGGCGACAGGGTCAGCAGGGGGCGTTGGTGGTGGGGGGGAAGGTTGGAAGGAAGACAAATGGGAAGTCATTTTTTCATGATTTTTTACCGTAATGTACCACATAGGGCTTTCGCTCAGTACCTGGTTTTGTATTTCATTCTGTGAGAGAAAAAAACTTATTGAAGTAGCTTGACATTCATTGTGTATGTAGTACGTTCATTTGTTTATATAGTCAGTCATTCTTTTGCAAACATGAGGATTAAAATAGGCTCTCTTTAAGTCCTCTAGTTAATGTGGGTACTACCTACATTTACTGATTGATCATGTGCCAGGCCAGGCAATACAGAATTGAATAAAATAGAAATTGAATAACAAGAAACATAGGGGGAAAGGTGAAGCAATAGAGCCTTTAAAGACAATACAGAAAATTCATCCCCAGGTTTTGGCACAAAACAAAATAAAACAAAACAAAACAGGAAAAAGATGATATAGACAAGTATCTTTATGATCACAGATTAGGAAAATAGTTCTCAAACAAGATGCAAAAAAAAAAATTAACCATAATGAAAAAGATTGACATCTGGCTACCATAAATTTTAAAGCTTCTATTCATTTAAAAGGTAGTGTTATAAGAGAAGAAAAGGAAAGCCACCGAATAGAAGATATCTGCACCACCTATTACTGTCAAAGGGTTTATATCTAGAGGACGTAAAGAACTCTTACAAGCCAATAAGAAGATCATGGAGTAGAAAAGTGGGCAAAGCATTTGAACAGGCATTTTACAAAAGGGGAAATTCAAGGTTTTAGTAAACATGAAAAGGGTTTAACCTTAGTAACCAGGGAATGCAAATTTAAACCACAGTGAGGGGCGCCTGGGTGGCTCAGTTGGTTGGGCATCTGCCTTCTGCTCAGGTCATGATCCCGGGGTCCTGGGATGGAGCCCTGCATCGGGCTCCCTGCTCAGCCGGGAGCCTGCTTCCCCCTCTCCTGCTCCCTGTGCTTGTGTGCGCTCCTCTCTGTCAAATAAATAAATGAAATCTAAAAAAAAAACACAAAACCTTAGTGAGCTACCACTATAAAATCCCTAGAATGTCCTCAATGAAAAAGACTGGTAGTATGAAGTGTTGAGGAGAATGTGGTGTGATAAGCACTCTCATATTTCTGATGGTGATCTAAATTGGTGCAACTTGGCTGGAAAGCATTTTATCTTTATTGGGTAATGTTAAAGCATGCATATGCGAGAACACAGTGATTCCACTCGTGGCAATATGCCCAACCAGAATATGTGTACATGTGCAATGGGAGGCATGGCCAAGAATATTTATAGCAGCATTATTCAAAATGTGTGTAATATTTCATGATAAAAAGTTAAAAACAGTAATTAAAAAACCAGTGTTCAACATAATAGTAACAGTATCTATTCTCTGTGTGAAAAATATTAAGAATATTTTCTGGGGGGGCGCCTGGGTGGCTCAGTGGGTTGAGCCTCTGCCTTCAGCTCAGGTCGTGATCTCAGGGTCCTCAGGCCCGGCATGGGGCTCTCTGCTCAGCGGGAGCCTGCTTCTCCCTCTCTCTCTCTGCCTACTTGTGATCTCTCTCTCTGTGTCAAATAAATAAATACTTATAAAAAAGGATATTTTCGGGGATGCCTGGGTGGCTCAGTTGGTTGAGTGACTGATGCTTTTTTATTTTAAAGATTTTCTTTATAAAAAACAAAGATTTATTTATTTATTTATCTGACAGAGAGAGACAGCAAGAGAGGAAACACAGGCAGGGGGAGTGGGAGAGCAAGAAGTAGGCTTTCTGCTGAGCAGGGAGCCCCATGTGGGGCTCGATCCCAGGATCCTGGGACCATGACCTGAACCGAAGGCTGATGCATGATGACTGAGCCACCCAGGAGCCCTGAGTGACCAATTCTTGATTTTGGCTCAGGTCTTGATCTTGGGGTCATGGCTTATGTCAGGCTCTGCATTCAGTGCCAAGTCTGTTTGAGATTCTCTCTCTCCCTCTCTCTCTGCCCTTCCTCCCACTTGTGCTCCCTCTCTCTAAATAAATCAATAAAAAATCTTTAAAAAAGAGTATCTTCTTAGTGCCTTTCATTTGTATAATCCCTAAGCATATTACATCCCCCACCCCGGCCCCCAGCCCCCGCACCACACACACACACACACACACACACACACACACACACACACACACGACCCAAGACCAGTTTTCTGGCTAGGGAGATCTGGGGAGTTGGGGGAGAGACCATGTGAATGTATTACCTATTCAAAAATTAAGTTAAAAATCACCAATGGGACCAAAATGGAATAGACATAATTCTCTCTATTTCTCCTGCTGAGTACAGCTAAAACCTCAGGACATTATATATAAAACAAAGATAAGGGTACTCTGTAAGTTGGAGAGAGGGAAGCAAACTTGCCATGGTCGTCGGAACCTGAGGAATGACACAGTGGTGATTTCCCCATTTTCTTTTTGCCCCACATATCTTGGACTAGGTGCTAGAGAAACTGGCAACCTAGAATGCCAACTGGCATAGACTGAAAACAGCCCCAGGAAAGCCTGCTTTCATGTGTTAAAGTACCAGGGAAAAGGCAACGTAGCAAGAAAGAAAAACTTCAATAATACCGCCCTGTTCCAGCCAAGTATCATGGAAAAGAACTGTGCTCCTACTCCCATTCTCATCAGCAAAGGCTGAATGGGGAGCCTAGATTTTCATCCCGGCCTGGGGGTAACGAGACCCCTTGCCCATAGTATCAGTTTAGGCCGCGTGGGGCTCTTGGACTTCCATCCCCACTCGATAACAAAGTGTCCTCTGCCTTCCCACCAGGGTGGTGTCAGACGTGGTGTGTGGGAAGGCCTGAAATCCTACCCTTGCCCAGTAGCAACAAGGTGCTTGTTCCCTTCTGGGGTGTCAACGGAGGTCAGCTGGGGAACCTGAACTTTACATCTACCTGGCAATAAGGAGCATTTTTCAGAATCCTCTTCAGAAGAAGATTCTACCTTTCTAGCAGAACAGTGTCAGAGGAGACCTGTTAAACACAGCATTTAAATAAAATCTAGAGTGTCATAGTTCCCAAAATATCCAGGACATAACTGAAAAATCAGGCATCATGAGAAGAAGCAGAAAAATCTCGACTGGAATGAGAAAAGACAATCAAGAGATACCAACATTGAGATAACACAGATGTTAGAACTATCTGACAAGAATTTTAGAGCAGCTATCATAAAAATGTTTCAACATACTCAAAAGAAATTTGAGAATAGAAAGTCTTAGCCAAGAAAGAAAAGATACAAAGACAAACTGAATGGAAATTTTAGAACCGAAAGATACATTGACAAAATTTAAAACTCCATTGTGGGCTCAACAGGAGAATAGAGAGGACAGAGGAAAGAATCTGAGAACTTGACAATGGAACAATGGAAATGATCCAATATGAACAGAAAGGAAAATTGGCTGGAAAAAAAAAATGAGCAGAGCCTCAGGGACCTGTGAGACAATAATAGAAGATCTGGCATTTGTGTCATCAGAGTCCCAGAAGGAAAGGAGAACAAGTATGGGGCTGAAAAAATATTTGAAGAAACTGGCTGAGAATTTCCCAAATTTAACAAAAATTATCAATGTACAAGTTTCAAGAAACTGAGGAAAACCCCCAGAGGAAAAGCCAAAGAAATCTACACCAAGACACATTACAATCAGACTTAAGAAAACTAAAGACAAAGAAAAAAAAAACCTTAAAACTAGCTAGAGAGAAACCACAACTTACTTATGGGCAGAAAACAAAGTGACAACAGATTTCTCATCAGAAACCATGAAGGAGGGGGTGCCTGGGTGGCTCAGTGCGTTAAAGCCTCTACCTTCGGCTCAGGTCATGATCCCAGGGTCCTGGGATGGAGCCCCGCATCGGCTCTCTGCTCGGCAGGGAGCCTGCTTCCCTTCCTCTCTCTCTGCCTGCCTCTCTGCCTCCTTGTGATCTCTGACTGTAAAATAAATAAATAAAATCTTAAAAAAGAAAGAAAGAAAGAAAGAAAGAAAGAAAGAAAGAAAGAAAGAAACCATGAAGGAGAGATGCAAATGGCACATTTTTCTTTTTTCCTTCCCAAAGATTTATTTATTTATTTATATTGGGGGGAGGGGCATAGAGAGAGAGAATCCTCGGTCAGGCTCCCCACTGAAAGCAGAGCCTGATGCAGGGCTTGATCCCAGGACCCTGAGATCATGACCTGAGCCAAAATCAAGCGTCAGCTGCCTAACTGACTGAGCCACCGAGGTACACAGGCACAACATTTTTAAGTACTCAAAGAAAAGAACTGTCGACCCTGCCATATCTGGCAAAACTACCCCTAAGAAATGAAGTAGTAACAGGCATCGAGGTGGCTCAGTCATTTAAGCGTCTGACTCTTGATTTCGGCTCGGGTCATGATGTCAGGGTAATGAAGTCGAGCCCTGCATTGGGCTCCGTGCTGGGGGCATAGAGCCTGCTTAAGATTCTCTCTTTCCCTCTCCCTCTGCCCCACCCCCCTTCCCTGCTGTCCCACCACCCAATAAAAAGAAATGAACTGGTAATGGCCAATAAATACATGACAAGGTGCTCAGCGTCATTAGTGATCAGGGAAATACAAATCAAAACGACGATGAGATACTCCCTCACACCCACTAGGATGGCTGGAATCAAGACGTCAGAGAATAGCAAGTGTTGGTGAGAACGTGGAGAAATTGGAACCTTCATATATTGCCGGGGGAGTGTAAAATGGTGCAGCTGCTTCGGGAAACAATCTGGCAGCTCCCCAAATGACTGCATATAGCTACCATTCGACCCAGCAATTCCATTCCTAGGTACATGCATCCTCAAGAGAAATGAAAATATATGGCCATGGGGGCACCTGGGTGGCTCAGTGGGTTAAAGCCTCTGCCTTCGGCTCAGGTCATGATCCCAGAGTCCTGGGATCGAGCCCCGCATCGGGCTCTCTGCTCAGCAGGGAGCCTGCTTCCC